CCATTTTTTGAGAACACGATTGGAATGAAATATCTAGAAAACATTTTTCTACTAATATGGTATCCTTTCTAAGAACAGTTAAACTGTCACAGATGGTGGAACGATGTTTCAAACTTATGCATACATTTCCTTTCAGGATATGCTTCCTGGATGTTGATTATATGCCAGGAAGAAAATGCACTGGTGAAATGACCTACTATAGTGAATTTATTTATTACTCTTATCCCAACTTGATTTTTTTTTTTGAGACAGAGTTTTACTCTGTCACCCATCTCACAGCAACCTCATACTCCTAGTCTCAAGTGATCCTCCTGCCTTAGTCTCCTAGTAGCTGGGACTACAGATATCCGGAACAATGCCCAGCTAATTTTTTTCCATTTTTAGTAGAGACAGAGTCTTTCTCTTACAGACTGATCTCAACCTCCTGAGCTCAAGGTTATCCTCCTGCCATGGCCTCCCAGAATGCTAGGATTATAGATGTGAGCCACTGAACCTGGTTCCCAGTTTGATAGAGTTTTTTTTAGTTATTTGTGAGAGGTTAATGTCAGACGATGTAGCTGTCTTCTTACAAAGTACTCATTGTTGACTATCAAGGTTAATAGTCAACCTTCTATTAACCAAGATTAGTAAACTACCATCTTTTCAGGAGTTGAAGGTTGCTGTGAGCTGTGAAGCCACGGCACTCTACCCAGGGGGGTAGCTTGAGGTTCTGTCTCAAAAAAAAAAAAAAAAAGAATCAAAAAAAAGAAAAAATAGAAAAAATTAGCCAGGTGTTGTGGCGGGTGCCTGTAGTCCCAACCTCCTGGGAGGCTAAGGCAAGAGGATAGCTTGAGCCCAGGAGTTTGAGATTGCTGTGAGCTATGAGGCCATGGCATTCTAACCTGGGGCAACAGAGAAAAAAAGGAAAAGAAAAGCCCAGGGGCACTGGTCTAACCAAACTCTAAGTAATCCTTACTCTGGAATTGGTTTTACTGATCTGGAGATTAAGTACAACTTAATCTCTAGGTAGACCTAGAATCAAATTCCAGAATCCCTTAAAAATAGAACAGATACCATTTATGAGATTTAAAAAATAATTACATGTGAAGGAGGTTGATAAAATAGATAAATTAATTTTAGTTTTCTTGACAGATACTTAAGAATTGATATCCAGGGCGGGAGTGTAGTGGCTGAGGCCTATAATTCCAGCACTCTGGGAGGCTGAGGAGGGTGTATCACTTGAGCTCACGAGTTTGAGACCAGCCTAAGCAAAATTGAGATGCGTCTTTAGAAAATGGCGTGGTGGCAGGCACCCATAGTCCCAGCTACTCGGGAGGCTGAGGCATGAAGCTTGCTTGAGCCCAAGAGTTTGAGGTTGCTGTGAACTATAATGCCAGAGCAATCTACTGGGGACAAGAAATAAGACTCTATCTCAAAAAAAAATTGATATCCATTTTATCAACCTCCTTCACATGTAATTATCTTTTAAATCTCATAAATGGTATCTGTTCTATTTTTAAGGGATTCTAAAGAGATTTTGTAATCTCCTGGTAAATTGCATGATCTTCCAGGGCCAGATCAAATCACTGAAATGTCCTTTCCTAGGTTAAGCCAGGACCAAAGCACTCCAGAAGGAAGAATTGGGTATGGCCTTTCCTCTGATATTTGCTACATCATAATAATCTAAATGGGATTATAGAGTTCCTGGCCAATCTGAGAAAGAGATGTTATTATCTTTTTTTTTTTTT